TATTATTAGAGTCAAACCCATGAAATATAGTGTTGATGACAATAAGGAATTTAAAAATCAGATAAAAGAATTGCTAGAAGCCAAATTAATTAGGTCTAGTAAAAGTCCACATAGCAGCTCAGCCTTTATGGTTAGAAAACAAAGTGAGATAAAAAGAGGAAAAAACTAGAATGGTGATAAATTACAAAAAATTAAATGAAGTTACTAAATTTGATGGATATTACTTGCCCAATAAAGATACCCTTATTAAACAAGTACAGAACGAAAAGATATTTTCAAAATTTGATTGTAAGTCAGGGTTTTGGCAAATCATGCTTACAGAAAAAAGTAAACCACTAACTGTATTTAGTACCCCCAATCCTTTAGAACAATAAGAATTGAATGTAATGCCATTTGGGTTGAAAAATGCACCACAAATATTCTAAAGAAGAATGGATGAGGTAATCAAACCAATTACTCATTCTATATTGCATATGTAGATGATTTACTTATTCATTTAAATAATATTGATGAACATCTTGAGAAATTTTGTTATATTATGAAAAAATATGGTATTACACTTTCTCAAAAGAAAGCTGAGATAGCTAGAACAGAGATAGAATTTTTAGAATTATTTATAAAAAAAGGAGAATTGTAATTGCAATCTCATATTAGAGAAAAACTTCAAGAATTTTCTGAAGAAATTAAAGATAAGAAACAATTACAAAGCTTCCTTGGTATATTAAATTATGCTGAAGGATTCATTGAAAATTGTGCCAAATTAAAAAATTATTTTCTTCCAAAATTAAGAAAAATATATAATGTGGTCTTGGGAAGAACAAGATTGTGAAAATATAAGGAGAGTAAAAGAAGAGTTGAAGGTATTGCCCAAACTTGTAATACCACAAGAAGAATATTTCTTTATCCTTGAAACTGATGCTTCAAATTATTATTGGGGAGCAATATTAAAGGTTAAAAAGAATCATAAAGAATATAAATGTGAAAAGAATTGTTCTTGTCCTGAGATACTTGCAGGATATACATCAGGAACATTTAAAGAAGTTGAAATAAGGTATGAGACGAACAGAAAAGAACTCATTGCTGTAAAAAGAGTAGTTCAAAAATATGAAGATTATTTATTACCAAAGAAGTTCTTGATTAAAACTGATAATATTCAAGTTAAAGCCTTTCTGAAAAATAATGTTGATCCATCTATTACCAATAGATATATTATTAGGATACAAATTTGGTTCT